CGCACAGCTTCACACTATACACGATCGTGGATATCTTTTTCTAAAATTTTAATAATCTCTTTTTTAATTTCGACATTTTATTCAGAAAATAATTAATGAAAAATTTAATACAGATTTTTCCCGTTACTTTGATATTTTTGCGTTTAGTCTAAAACATTTCGTCAGGAGTAGTATTATAACTTTGTAAACAAAATCGTATAACAATTTACCTAGACTTGTTTTAAACCGTTGAGCTTGTGATTTTACAGATCTAAGCTTGTTCTTTAAAGATATTTTTACATGTAACATATGAAAAACTGAGAATACCTTTCTTCTCATAAATTATAAGAATTCAAATACCTCTAAAAACATTGAAAAATGTATTGTATATCTATAATTATAGTTTTGAAGTCTGACCTTCAAAATATCCATTTAAAATTTGTTGTTCGATTTTTTCGCAACATCTTTGGACGTTGAATGTATCCGAAAACGATGAAAATTCGACATACTAAATTTGTTGAAACTCTTTTTGATGAGTGAAAACACCCCTTAAAGTTGAGGGTTTAGCATATACTTTTTACAATATCCCTAAAACTAAGGGGCATAGAAAAGAAACTTAAATTTTTCCTTTCGAGGTGAACAATTTAAAGAAAGAATTCCTTTTCTACAGCGTAGTTTCAGAGATATTGTAAAAAATACGCTTTCAATCCTCAACTTTGGGGGGTGTTTTCAGCCCCTCAAAGTAGATGTTGGCCATAAGAAAAAATACATGTCAAATATTTTCTTAAGAGCCATTTCTCACATAACTTTCATCGAAATCGGCGTGTGCTGCTCGAAAGGGTTCCCTTGTAAGTTCCATAATATCGTATTCTTGAAACCAATTGCATTTCCCCCTTGAAATTGCTTAAGCTGTATCATTAGCTAAGTATCTGCAGTAAATAATTACAAAGGTGTGCGAAGGCGCAATATCTCCATACTCACCTTCTCCCAACATGACATAATATTGTCACGATTAAACAGACATTTACGCCAGCAAAATCCACTAAAAAGAACTTCTCATCCGCCCGTTGCTCGTATAACCGTAAAATTATATTAGCATGTCTTCGCGGACACGCTTAGGCACTATGTAGTTCAATTCATTACCGACAAATCTCAATACTATCTTCACGGGATATCACAAGTGGCCATATTAGTTGCATTTACCCTACCTAGATGTCAAGTCATTACAATCGGAACCGTCGAATAAAGTTATCGAATGGATCGTCGACCGGGACTCTGAAATGGAAAAATGACAGGAACAGGGGCGAGAGGGAGAAAGAGAAAGATAGCCTACTGTTACGGCAGTCCGCGGTTGGCGCATTCCAGTGGAAGCGCGGGCGGTCCCGCGGCGAAGATACCAGCCAGATACGCACTGGGCGACGTAATACCGACGAATGAATCACGTTCTTGTAGGAAGTGACCGACCGGTGAAAATGTCCGGTTTAGACAAAGGCTCGCGGCAACCGAGTGGCTTCACTCTTTGCAGCAGCGCTAACGAAGAGGGTCGAAGCGATAGACGATCTCAGCACGGCTGGAATGTTCCGTCTGGGATCGAGCATCGCATCTGCCATTAGCATTCGGGCCCTCTCGCCTCGGTGGTGCGACGCTCGCTGTTAGATTCGATGCTAGCCAAGCAGCGTCGTGCACGATTCCATCAAGTGTCCACGGTACCAGTTGGCCGGGATGCGCTCCTGTCCACCTCAGTAATTTATCTTGTCTCCGGTACCGAGTACTCCCGAGTTCTATTTCCACGGCACGGCGACAGACAGATAGAGATACCGGGGACGTTCGGTATGGTTTTCACCGCGTTATGCGACCCCGCCCCGTTCATGATCCACGAAATCGCTGCAACAAGGAACGCAACTCATTGTTCGAAGCTACCGATCTTGGTGAACCGTAGCTCTAATAAGTGGGCTGCGGATCTTTATTCTTAATTCACCTTTTCTGGAATTCATCAGATTATCTCGAAAGTTTCTTTCGTTTTACAAATATACATTGGAGTTGCAGTGCACTTAACTAACTTTCGTTTTGATAAATGGAGTTCTGTTATAAATGATTTTATTTTAAAATGTTGTATATAATACATATAAGCGAAGTATATTTTGTATTAGCTGACACTTTTCCATTTGTAAATTTCCTAAAAGAATTAGTTTAACTTTTAAAACCGGTAATTTAACCCTTACAGTGTCAGTGATTCCGGTGACCGTACTGACTATGCTTGGGTCCACGCGGATCCGTTATCGAACCTTACTAACATAAACATTTTGAACTTATATTTTGTTATCTTATTCCCCTTTTTTGTTGCTGAAGAATTTTATGTTAATTAAACAAATTATGCTATTTCGACATCGTTTTGAAGACTGTTCTATTTGGCTATGTAAACAAAGATATTCATCTGTTTCGTGTTTCCTTATTCTGAAATTTAGAACAACGAAATAGAAACGCTAGAGGAAGTATATCTGTACTAGAAATACAGTTACAACTGATTTTAATTGCGAGGGCTATGAATTCATTTGTACAGTTACATAATAATAGCGTTGATAACAATGTTGCACAATAGCTAGAAAGGGAAACTCCTACGCAGGTGGCTGGACAGTGTATCTACCTACATAGCTAAAACTTCGTGCACCTCGTTATTGAAACAATTAGTTTCGAAAAGTAAATAGGAAAGGGGGGCATTTAACGTGAAACTTTTCTGGCGGATGTCCTGCTCGTTAAATTAAAAAGGAGTAGAATTTCTTAGAGGGATAATAAAGAACACTAAACACAATGCACAGAAAGCGACACGAATTTTTCGGACGATTTAATAGTATTCGAACGGACGCCAGTTATCGTCGTCACAATGGAAGTTCTTCAAGCCGTGGTAGATATATTACTGTTTTATGAACGAATGTAACCTACCGGTAGAAAGAAATTTCGTCCCGCGCTTCTACGCTCCCGGTCACGCTCCCCGGCTTCATTCGCGTGCGTTATTAGCGTCGGCGCTCGTGAACGATTGACCTAATGGCGTCCCATGCGCTCAGGTATTTCAATTAGACGCTTTTTGTACATACAACGGCCTTTACGATCGGTTGTATGATTTGAAATTAATCGAGTATCCCTTTTTCCGCTGACACACCTGTGATCCAAACAATTCACGGAAGCTGGCTGGTTATATCATACCTTTCTCTTGGAAGTGCTAATACCAATAACGTCGTCGACAAATATTGATAATGTCGAAGTGCTACGAATAATTCAGTATAACGATTAATTGAATATAACTTGAAAGTATCATGAATGAATGTTTGAAAACAGTTGTCACAGTCACGGTTGTTATTCTTATATTAAAAAGATGATTTAAGGAAATAACAAATAAATTGCAAAAGCAAGATACATTGTTGAAAATAAAATTCGAATGTTTGACGTTACTGTGTAATTATAGATAGTTACAATATTTACGTATATATAATTTTTACCTTATGCATTCGATTAATGTTTTTATAATAATGCTGTTAAATACTATTACACAACATAATTCAAAATTATGATCATTAAAATGATATGATCATTAAGAGTATATTACGGTTTCAGTCCTGAATTTTTAAAAGTTTCACTAAAATTAATGTTAGTCAAATACACAAATGAGGACACAGCTATACAAAAATTCATTTAAAAAATACAAAAACTGAAACAGATATAATAATACGATAAATAAAAAATGAAAAACTTGGAATACCATTTCCCAAAGAATGTTTTAAAACTACATAATAAACAATAATTAAATGCAATTATATTCATTCAGTAAATGTTATAGTATTACCATTATTCAAATGTACATATGCATAGGATTCGTATTACAAAATTTCAATGCATGAATTATCACAAAGTTAAAATGACATGGGCATCATAAGACCTCTCTATAGTCTAAACAAAATTCGAAAGAGACCTTTCTATAGTTTATATATATTTACCTTAAGTTAGTAATCAGTGGTTGCTGACTTATGTAGTTCAGCAGTTGACCATTTCATTTAGATGAATTTCGCTAGTGCATTAGGACATTCCTAGCAACGTCGATATTTCAGAGTCACAGGCATAAAATTACACTCGATTTAACATCTATGAGAATCTTAAGTTTGTCTTTATGATTAATTTTGTATTACAAACGAAAGATGTAATATATCTATCATTTAATATAAATTTCTATTGTACGATCTGTTGATTATGAGCACAGACAAGGTATAGGATAGATATTGCAAGCATATGAAACTCGGTGTCACATGTTCTGAATTACCGACTGTGTAAAAAAATCAGAGGTTTTACTCTGCCCTCTACGCTTAGAAAACAATGAATAGGAAAACTACATCAAGCAAAATGATCAAAGTTTATTCATAATTTAATAGCTTTTTCCTGGTGAGAGGAAGATTAAAACTTTCAAAATCACTATTACCTTTCTAAATGACATACATTATATTTACTTCTTTCTTTAAATTCTTCGTGTAAAATAATAATTAGAGATTATTTAATTATTATTTATTTATCCTGAACTTTTTTTCGAAAACCGTCCAATGTACGATTTTTCATTTTGCACATGTGTATATATTAATATTCTAACTGTTTATACTCTGCCTTTTGAAAGCTGGGGTCTAACTTTCGGAGTATGTAATACTCTTAAGAAATGCGCAAAGAAATCATAAGATGAATTCAAATACTTATAAATTTTTTTATGTAAGAGATATTCATAATTATAGGCTTGACTAAATAACAAACTCTAAAAAAAAGTAAACATAAAAATAAACTATTTTTAAGAGATTAGAGGAATGTCGGGGTCCTTCAATGTGTGCACTTTACAATTAAATCTTGTTATTGTTAGGGTTATAAATTTAAACATACTTTAATCGATTGATGTGAATGTTACTGAATTGAATTGATATCGAATGATACTGGGCAACTGGTTAAAAAATAGAAAGCAGATAGTATTTGGTGATTTACTTTATACCATTTACGTCACAAATAGTCGCTGTAATGAACACAACTCTAGACGAATGATTCTAGAAGATTATACAACCGGTTCTATTTTCGAACATTAACACAGAGTTCATTATCCTTCCCTAGAACCATACACATCTCAAAGAAAGCGAGTACACGTATTCATCAAATTCTCGAATCGTCATGCAGTAAAACAACTATCAACTGTTTTTGAGAAAGTAACATTAAAAACTGATCGACCAATTATTCTGCGATGTTCGCAACAAGTTTTCTCTAATTATTTATTAACAGGCTATCTGTAATTTCAATAATTGCCATGTTTTCGAAATCATATTTTTGACCTTATTTTAGAAACTTTTATACGATGCAATTAACCCTTTGTACTCGAGAGATGCCTTTCAGTCGCCATTTAATTTAATCCAGCAGAATTATAAAATTTAAAATTCAATATTAAATTTTGTATAATGTATCAACACATGGAACATCGAAATAAAATAGTTCTGTCCCTTAATTAATGCAAGATATATCTTTATGTTAGTTGTAAAAAAGTATCATTGATACTTCATCAGAAAATAATGAATATTTGTTGAGAAAAATATTCTCGAGTTCAAAGGGGTAATTATTAACGATATACATATAGATGGATAATCAAATAATAATTGTTGGCATTACATGTACTCTACGTTTTGATGTCATATATTATTCATTTTGTTTTTCACGGAAGATCTGTATATTTTTATTAAATTTAAATTTATCGTTGCCAGTATATCACGTGTAGTAGCTGCTTTACTACCGGAAATCGATTCGTGATTGGAATGGAATGGCCGTTCTATACGCATTTATGTATACAGAGCACGTACTCGGTTTACATATCCCCACCATATGGCCTGTATCAAAATCATTTCCAGCAGCTATCAAAAGAAGACGTCGCACCTGTATCACCAGCTTGTAAACACATGATACTTCCGGTTATTATGTTCTACAGCACATATGAAACTTCAGAAATTTATAAAATACAAACTTTAATAATATTTAATGCAACACCGATTTGTTTTTAATTTATTAAATTTGTAATAAATAGAATTTTATTTTATTCCGGTATTTTTATATTTGTATACAAAAAATATGTTGCATGAACCTTTGCAGTCTATGTAGAACAATACTTGATATACTGTAAAAAAGTCGAAATAGAAAAATGAAAGTTTTTCGTATGTTTCTTACACTATGTGATTTGAAGACTTACGCAGAAATCTAAGAGAGTAATGGCTCGGAGAATGGCAATTCTTTTCGATATTAGAACGTTCCTTTCGCGCTTTTTTGTTAGCAGTGAACGTGTTCATTATACATTAAGAAATTCGTCATTTATCGAAGATATGATGACATTAAAAATATCGTTTCATCAATATCAGAGGCAGTGAACATTTTGTATAATATTTTCTTAAAATACATATCTGAAGCTAATTTTTGTTCTGACGGAGAATATCAGTTTTCAATTATATATTCGCTTTTAATAATTATTAAATTGAAATGGTCGACTTTTGTCTCTTCTGTTTAGTAGTTGTATACGAATATAATCAAAGTATTGATTTGCTGATATAGAAACATATTAATTTGAAGAATATTTCAAAATTTTCATTATTTCATCATATTTCATTCTAAAATCTCAAGATGAAATAATAGGAAGGGTACCTGAAGCTCAGAGTGGAAACTTATCTTAATTCGACGCGTGATATTTTTATTATTTTGCAGCTTAAAAATGTACTACGACTAGTCTAAAAATCAAACTTTGAGCTGTGTTGTTTAGCGATAATATATTTCTAAATAAAATACTTTCCAAAAAAACTGTAAAATATTAAAAAATATTAATACATTCGTGAAAAAAATTAAAAAAATTACGAGAAAAATATTTTGTATTATAAGATAACAGTTATATTTTTAACATTGTATTATACTCTAACAAAATAAGATCTAATTATTACAGTAAAACAATTTCTTTTAATGGAATAAGGCATTTAATAATTCAGTATATTTACTAAAGAGTCCTGTGTAAATAGTTGTAAATAAATAACTAAGTCAGTGCTTCCTTTATTTATTTTTCCATTCACACTCGAGTGTACTTTTAGCTTATTCAATTGTAATACTGATGAAATAATGACACAAGCACTGATCAAATGATTTGGCGAATATATAATATTAGGCTGGTGCATATGAAATGTCGGTTTTTCTTTACATGTGAACGTTTGTCTCCCTGTTTTCGTTATGCTTTTGTTTTTGGCATAACCTCGTTTATAGTCGTACTGTCCATTGCCAGAGTCACATTTTAACAAAGAAAATTTTCTAAAAAGTATTCTCTTTTGTTATTTGTTTCGAATATTATACCGATATGAATTCAACCGATATTCGTATAATTTTTTTATATGAGTATAAACTTGGTAATAATGCTGCAAAAACTACACGCAATATAAACCAGGATTTTGGGGAGAATACTGTTAATGACCGAAAAGTGCAGCGTTGGTTTGAAAATTTTCGGTCTGGTGATTTTTTCTTACAAAATGAACCGCGTGGAAGACCCAAAACGTCTGTGAAAAACGATGCTCTGAAAGCATTGGTGGAAACGAATCCAACTGTATCTACAAAGGAACTTGCTACCACCATGAAAGTTGACCATACAACAATATTCCGAAACCTTCCTGAAATTGGCAAGGTGAAAAAAATAGATAAGTGGGTACCGCACGAACTAACCGAGCGAAATAAACTGAATCGGTTGAATGTATGCTCATCGTCACTAACCCGATTTCATCGAGTGCCATTTTTCGATCGGATTATTACTTGTGATGAAAAATGGATTCTTTACGACGATAGGAAAAGGTATGCTCGGTGGCTTGATGGGGATGAGGCTTGTGCTCAACTCCAAAGCCATCATTTCATCCACGAAAAATTTTAATAATACAGTCTGTTTGACAAGAGCGTGTACGGCAAAACTCTTACCTGCGATGCCTTAGGTAGGAAATTCTACTTCAAGCAGGTAACTTGAATGTTTCCCTAAGATGCTTTGTACAAAAAACCCTCAGTTGTTGATCGAGCTTATTCGTAAAACGACGTATTTCATTATGAGTGCCGCGTACGCATCACGTTACGAAGCAGTGTTTCTGTGTTTCCATCCTAAAGGACCAAAAATGTCATACACGGCGGCTGCTAAATACATGAAGAAATCGAAGACATTTGTTAGTAAGTGGGTGAAACGATATTTGGAGGTCAAAAACGTCGATGACCTACCAAATCGTGGCACTAAGTCAAAGACGACGAAGAAAGAGGATAAATTGATTTTACGCGAATTCGAGAAGAATCCCCGTCTATCGTTACGTAGTGGACAGGCAGTTTTATGTAGAAAGGGTTTGAAATTGTCATGTGATACGATAAGAAGACGATTATTGGCAAATAATGTGAAATTTAGAAGCACAATAAAGAAACCTCTACTATCCGAGAAACATGTCACAAAAAGACTCGCTTGGGCGAATGAAAATTTGAACCGTGATTGGGACAATGTAATTTTTTCGGACGAAACTTCTTTTTGGGCACATACTTTTATAACCCATACCTGGTGTACCCACGCCAATAAACTCCTTCAGCGAACCGTTAAACACCCGGTAAATGTGCATGTTTGGGGTTGCTTCTCGAAGCAGGGTTTCGGTACTTTGCACGTATTCACTGACAATTTAAACGCTGCCAAAATGGTCAAAATCTATCAGAGAGTCTTATTACCATCTGCCCAGAGGTGGTTTATAAGAAATAATAAACATTGGCTACTGCAAGAGGATAATGACCCAAAACATCGAAGTCGACACTGTACAGCCTGGAAAGAGGAAAATCACATCGATGTACTAGATTGGCCTTCACAGTCGCCGGATGCAAATCCAATAGAAAATGTTTGGGCAATCATGAAGATCAAGCTCAGAGGAAAGAAGCTCAACACGATCAAGAAGCTGATTCGTCAAATTCGATTGGTATGGAGGTCCTTATCTCGTGATTATGCGATTACATTAGTAGAAAGTATGCCTCGAAGATGTAAATTAATTATTGATAATGGCAGTGACTGGACAGCATATTAATAATAAAGCATCTTAGTATACACCATAAAGAATTTGTGTATTTTTTTCGAACCCGATATCCTAAATAGTTTTCGAGTTTTGCCGGACACGCTCTTGTCAAACAGAGTGTAGTTTGGTGGAATGTGACTGGAGTAATTCACTACTCATTCCTTCGAACTGGGAAGACAATTACAACCGAAAAGTACTGCCAGTATATTGATGAAATGCATGAAAAATTGAAAATTATCCGCCCATCACTTGTTAATCGGCATGGCCCAATACTTCGCCACGACAACGCTCGGCCGCATACGCCGTACAAAACAATTGCGAAATTAAATGAATTAAAATATAACATTTTGTAGCACCCAGCTTATTCACCGGATCTTTCGCCATCCGTCTTTCATTTTTTTAAATATTTAGAACAATTTTTACGAGCTAAACAGTACGAAAATGAAGGCAGCCTGAAAAATTCCATATCAGAGTTTATTGATTCTAAAGATCAGAATTTCTCTAATACACGCATTTATGCATTAAAGTGTGAAAAGTGTATTGAAGCAAATGGAGCATATTTTAATTAAATAAACAGCCTTTGAAAAAAGAAATGCATATTTATATATTCACTTGAAAATCTGACATTTCATACGCACCAACCTAATACTATTTTACTTAATGTCGTTTTATATAGATTGTTATTTGTAACATTTATTTCCCTTCTTCAGTTTTGAACCACAGGCCGGCTAGAATCATGTTAATAACGCGCTGTAGCCTCTTGGGGATGACAAGTCCCGTGAAGGACATACATACATTACAGTGAAGAGGGTGCAAGGAGAAGTGTCTACTCGCGGGACCAATAGTAATGGCGGAATTAGTTTCGGTACGTTTTTGTTACTGGCCGAGCTGCGAGCTGAGGTGGAGCGTGCGGCCTAGTCCCCTAGCCCCTCTTCACTTTTGAGCTTTAGGCCAGCTGGGTTCACACGAGTAACGCACTGTAGATGCTTCAAATATTCACCCAATCTAACGCTGTAAGCGGCATAGTATGAACTTAGGCATAAGTTTACCAAGAGTAAAATAGAGTGGAATATTTAAAAAGAAGGATATACTCAATTTTATGTGGTTTATTTCGAAAATTTGTGTAATTGTAATGTATACACGTAGAATGCATTACGGACGTGAGCCAAGCCGGTCTATGGCTCTAAACTGAACAGAATTCAAGGAGAACGACCCGATAGTAATGACGGAATTAGTTTCGACAAGTCCTTGTTAATGGCCAAGCTTAGAGCTGAGGTGAAGCGTGTGGCCGAGTCCCCTTGTCCCTCTTCACTTTTGAGCCACAGGCCGGCTTGGCTCGCGTGAATAACGAACTGTAGATGCTTTTGCGTCAAATATTCACCTAGGCTAACGATGTAAACGGCACAGAATGCTACTTCTGGTAAGCAATGTGTGAAATTCGTTAATTCGAAGTCATTCGCATCATGCGCAAAAAAATATACACCCGCAGCTCCATGCGTCGCTCCGCTTAGATGACGACTGAGATTTGATCACACTGTTCGCTCCTTTCTTCTCCGAAGCTGCGAACCAACTCGCCTGAAAATACGAATCATCGATTTGTAAAGCTTCTCGATCTACGTAGATTCGATGTTAACCCTTTGAGTGCTGTGACGCATATATGCGTTTCTCGATCTCTGTCACACTGAAACTACCGAGCAGTTAAATTGTCTCTTTGAAATTCCTCTATAGAAACTCCAAGAATGCATCTATTGAGACTTTATCTGATTTAAAATTCAGTTAGCGTATTGCTAAATCAATTTCTTTAATAATTTCTTAAAGAAACATCTGTTACCTTTCTAAAAAGATGAAGTCCGGAATGTGTCATTTTGACCCGTCTGGTAGTTTTATTCAATTATTCAATTCGGTGAAACTAAGGAATTACAACTACGATTTAATTACAACTTACTTGATTGTATGAATTAACATAATTTATCGTTTTTCAGATGAGCAAAACAAATATTCCGTCCACGCGGAACGTTTCGGCTGGCAATATTCAGCACTCAAAGGGTTAAATTCTTATTCAATCAACCCTTTGGGATTGAGGATTTTTTAAAATAGTAAAAATTTTCAACAAAGGCGTCTAAATTATGTAAAGAATTTTTACACGGTAGAAAAGGAGGGATACGCATAGATCTTTCGTTATTCAAGTAATTAAATTACACGTCGGTAATTTTGTATCTCTATATATTTATTCAATTCATAATTAATCATCTTCTAACAAATATATGGTTAAAATTTTAATTTCCACCAGAAATGCCTGCATAGAGTATAAATAATGACAGATTCTTAAAAATTTAGTTCGTTTATTTAGCATATTTTAATACTATATTTATCTATAAAAATATGTGTCATATTATGTAATATTTTGAAAATTTGAAGCTTGGACTGTAGATAGATACTTTTATTAATGATTATTATACTAATAAACGTAAATAAAGCGTCCATTTAATTTTCTATGTCATTACAACATGTTAATAAAAAAATGATGTTGAAGATGAAGTAGAACATTTTTGTGCATATTTAGTAATTTTGACAGACTTCTGGCAACTCATCGAATTTGTTGTTGATTATCACGTATCCATAAATAAAATAAGGCATTCTGTTCTACGAAAAATCATAATCGACCTTTATAAAATAATAAAACTATCGCTACTACTTGTTTGGGTAGCGAATAGAATAATAACATTGAATCTGTAATATAACGTTTAAATCATACAAAAGATTGCGGCTATAGATTAAAGAAGCATTACTAAAACGTTTGCAAATCATGCAGGGATAATGTTTTACTAAATGATTAGTCATTTGAGATATTTAAGAGACTAAA